TGGCAAGCCCAGCGCACAGACAGGAAACCCTGGGTGAGAAGAGGGGGCGCCTGTGTCCCCCTGGGTGGGAGGCAGGATGCAGGGACGGGAAAAACGCGGGGCCTGCACAGCTGCTGGGACAGAGCGGTGAGAGCAGAGCGGTAACCCAGCCCCCACGTCCGGGTGGGCCCCCGTGAAGGGAGGCAGGGAGGGAGGAGGCAGCGAACTTGGGGACAGCGTGGCTGAGGGGTGATGAGCCTCCAGCTGCATGGAAAACACGGTTTCCCATGAAGGACAATTTCTGCTCCTGGTGGCCTGCAGGCCCCTTCCCGCAGCGCCTGCCTCGACCGGAGCCCGCTCCTCGCTGCGGAGCTGAACCACAGAGGTCAGCCCATTCCGCAGCCGAGCCCCTGCCCCGAGCCCCTGCCCCGAGCCCTGCCCTCAGCGCGGAGGCGAATGAGACCAGAACCAAAGGCAGTGCCTGGAAGGGTTCTCCGCCTCCCTTCCCCTCCTCTCCTCCCTCCCTGGCTTTAATTAAGGGTTTGCTTGCGAAAAACCCAGCTCTATTTAACTAAATCCTTGGACCCTTTTATATTGTCTTCACATTTCGCTTCATACCAGGGCGCCAGTAAAAAGTTAATTATAACTTCTAAACACTCCGTTGCCGGGCCTCGCCGTCCTCCCCGCCTGGGTCTGCTGAGGGCAATGCCACCTGATGAACCGGCTCAGCCTGGGCCCTGAGGCCTCTCCGTGCTCTTGCCCGCGCACCTGCCGAGCGCCCTCCGCCAGCGCCAGGCCGGGCTGGGCTCTGGGGACCTGCCTGGCCCCCGAGGGGCTCACGGGATCCTGCAGGAGGAAGGCGGGCCTGGCAGGCTGGCCTGCTTGGGTGCCCACAGAAGCTTGGCAGGTGATATAAGTGAGTGGGCAGATAAGAGTGGGGTCAGAAGAATAAGAAATGGCAGCTGATAGCAGCCTCAGCGGGGAGAAGAGGGGGCACAGCAGGCCTGGTGGGGAGGGTCTCAAACACCGCACTGGAGGGCTGCACCTCACTATATAGCCTATGGGGACGGGTCTGTGGTGAGGAGTTCAGTTTGGGACAGAGGGAGTCTGAAATCCTGGTGGACAGCCTGGAGGAGGTGTCTTCTGCAAAGACCAAACAATGCACCGGCAGAATCTCAAAGAAAGATCTTGGCCGGGAGAGAGAGGGAGGTCTGGGTGGAACCAAGAGCTGGGGATGGGGGGAGGTCTGAGTGATTATCACCTGGAAAGAAGGTGGTTGAGATGTTCCAGGTTGGCCCTGGGAGAGGCCACCTGCAGTGAGCAAGAGACCGAGGAACCAAAGGAGACGGAGAAGGGGAAGCCCAGAGAGGCAGATGGTGTGGAAGCGGAAGAAGAACCCACGTTGGAGGTGAAGTGGAGAGGCCGGGAGAGAAGGGCTGAGAACAAACCCCCCGATGGCCTCTGGGTGGTTGGTCACTCCAAGGCTAGAGCAGGGGTGAGGCTCTGGGCGCTGGGGGATGGGAGTGAGAGTGCAGAGGTGCAGGCTTCACGTGGCCGGGGGGACAAGGAGGCCAGTCCGGCACCTGCCAGTCACAGGGAGCTTTCTGACATCCTGCGAATCCCAGCTCCTGAACTGACAGTTCTTGGGGGCATGGCTGTCCCCAGAGCCCGGGGCAGAAGCAGGCCCGATGTTCTTGCCTTGGGGACGATGTGGGTGCTGAGGGGGCCTCAGGTCAGCTGCTACCTCTGCAGCCTGCATCCTGGAAGTGGGTGTGGTTGGCACTCAGCCACTCACCTGCCCTCAGCACCCTGGCTTCCAGGGGAGCCCTCACACCCACCTGGAATACCTGCCCCCTGGGCCCGGTCCAGCTCACCTGCTGGCCTCAGCTCCGAGCCTCGTCCTGGGGACCCAACTCAGCCTCCGCCCGAGTCTTCTCAGACCCCAAGTGCCATGTTACGAGAGCCATGGCTCACACTTGCCTGCTCACGGCTCTGCCTCCTCAAAGCCCCCCGATGCTGCTGCCCCAGCCAAGCCCCACCTGCCGGGGATGTATCCACGCCCGTCACTCCTGTCCACAGCTCCTGCCCAAGGCCTGCCCTGGCTGGGCCTCATCTGGAGCTGGAGATGAGGCCTGACCCCGCCCTCCAGGCGCTAACGGTCTAGGGCTGGGGGGCAGGGGGGACACAAGAACACAGATAATTCCCTGCCATGAGGTGAGGGCCACCACCAAGCCTGAGAGCTCTGGGTACACAGAGGGAGGAGGGACCGATGCTGCCCATCGGGTGGGGGCTTCGAGGCAGGTGACAGAAGGGGCAGGTGACACTGAGGGGGCAGGTGACACTGAAGGGGCAGGTGACACTGAGGGGTGGTAGGACTGCCTGCCACTGGAGGGGGAAGAGTGGTCCCAGCGGGGGGCCAGCAGGCCCGGAGTGGGGCCTGTTCTAGGAATGATCAGTGGAGCCGACCAGAGTGGCTGGAATGAAACGGCTCTGCTGACACTGAGGCTGGCTGATCGGTGTTTGCTGGGGGGAGTGTGGGGGGCTCGAATATGAGAGAGGCAGGTTTTTCCACAGGAACAGCCCCCACTTTCTGAGGCTTCTCTTTGTGCCTAGCGCTACACGAGAATGTTATTCTTCAAGCCTCCGCAACCCTATGGGGCAAGTAAACAATTCTCCCCATTTATAGTGAGGCACAGAGAGGCTGAGTGACTACGCTAAGGTCACACAGCAAAGGAGAGGCCAAAGCAGGGGTGAAGGCAGTCTGCTTGACTCCCAGGCAGGGGTCCTAGCCCTCACGCTGTCCCGCCTCCTGCAGACAGCCCCCCAGCAAAGCTCTCCCTCACACGCAAACCCTCGCCGCTCCACGCCGGACGGAGAGTGGCTCCTGGGCCTCCGGTGTGAACTCCCAGCCACACCCCACCGAGTGACAGCTCCGACATCTGCAATCACCGCCGAGGCAGCAAAGGGGAGAGGCCGGGGGAGGGAACCTCCCACCCCAATAGCTCAGGCAAACAAATCAGCCGAACGCCGAGGGCACACGAGGAAGCAGGCCCCCGAGTTCCTGTGGACACTTCTGACTTCCGTTAAGGGGCAGGTGGAGGGCTCGTCCTCAAGTGCCCAGCGCACTGTGCCGGCCCCAGGACCCTGGTCAGGCCCCGCCCTGACTCCGGCCAACACACCACGCCTCCTCTCGAGCGTCCACCGGCACGTTGGCCTCAGGGGTCCCCTGGCCTGGTGTCACCCTTTCTGCACAACTCCCAGCCCCTCGGTCTAGAGCAGTGGTCGGCAAACTCATTAGTCAACAGAGCCAAATATCAACAGTACAACGATTGAAATTTCTTTTGAGAGCCAAATTTTTTAAACTTAAACTATATAGGTAGGTACATTGTTATTAACTTATTTAGGGTACTTCTAAGGCTTAGAAGAGCCACACTCAAGGGGCCAAAGAGCCGCGTGTGGCTCGGGAGCCGCAGTTTGCCGACCACGGGTCTAGGCCCAGCCCCAAGTCAGCTTCCCCCAGAGGCCTTGCCCTGCCAGGAGAAAGCGTTCAGCACGTGGCGCCCACCCCACTGCGCACGCCAGCATCTACTCATTCATTCCCTCGCGCTGAGGGGCGGGTCGTGGGCCGGGTGCACCAGAAACCGTCCCCACCCTCAAGTACCTCGGTGCAGGGGGCTGACGGCCCTCCCGGCCAATTCAGATTTCAGATCTGAACAGCACCCACCCCAAACAGCTGTTCCCACGATTCACCCGGCGGCAGTGGTGTAAGGAGCCGCCCACTGCGCCTGGCGCACAGCAGGAGCCTGGACCGCAGCGGCTCCTGGCATCTGCCTTGGACTCGGCTCTTGGTCAGCTCAGGAGGCCTCCCATCTTTTGAGGATAAGAAGCGGGGCTCAGAGAGGGGCCCTCCCGGAGGCGGCCTTGACCCCGAGGCGGCACCAGGCGAGGCAGGAAGCCGGGCAGGCCCACCCTGCGGAGCCCTGTCCCACCCCAGCCTCACGGGGTCCAGCCCAAAAGGGGCCCTTGGTTAGCATTTCCCATTTGAGCATCAACATGTAAGGCTCTGAGCCTGCCAAGCGGAGGGAAGGCCTTGTTTGTAAACATTTGTCTCGACTGCAAAGCCAGGCCTCCGCTCGCACAACAACCGCCTTGCTCCCGGTCCCTCTGCTCACGCAGCTCCCAGCCAACTGCGCAGCGGGCACCCTGGGGAGACGCCTGTCTGGCAGGGGAGTGGGCTGCTCAGGGGGCGGCCGACGCACCCAGGCCTCTGAGATGGTAGCCAGCCCAGGGCCGTCCAATGCAATCCAGCTGTCCCCCCACCCCCAGGGCTGTGGCAGCGACAACTCGATTCCGAGCAAACAGCTTTTCCCAGGGGGCACCCCAGTGTATGTCTCTCTTATTTAGGAAGAAAGTAAAAAGCCAAAGAGAAGGCCCTGGGGGCATGCTTGCACATCACGGCCCACCGCGGGCCAGCGCTCACTGCCTGTGCCAACAGCTGCCCTGGGGAGGCGCCCAGGCCTGGTCCCCTAGGACCCTGCTGTGGGCACAGAGGGTCCCCTCACTGGGGGAGCCATCCCGACGGTGGTCGGTGGCTGAGCCACTACGCACCAGCCGAGCACCTGCCTGGCCTCAGCATTCCCACACAGTCACGCATTCGTTCACCGGTCCGGCCACTCATGCCTTCACTCACTCACTCAGCCGTTATCTACTTGGCACCTACCTGTGCCGGGCACGGGGGGCTGGACACACACGTGGGCAAGAACACACCTGGGCCCAAAATGCCCGCAGACAAATGGAAAGTCACAGCTAAGACAAGGGCTGGGGTAGGAGATGCCGAGGTCTGGGGCCTGGTCCGGAGGTCAGGGAAGGCTTCCTGGGGTGAGTGGGGGGGGAGGGAGGGGGCGGACAGGCAGACAGAGGCCGGGCAGGGGCAGTGGGCAGAGCAGGGAGGAGGACAGCTGGGCACAGGGGCCACCCCAGCCCGGACATTGGCAGAAGCCCACCCCCTGCCCAGCACCTACCAAGCCACTCGTTGAACTTCTTCACCTCGCTCGGGAGGCCCAGCTCCGTGAAGTCGCCGGCGTGGATGAGCACGTCGCCGTACGGCATCTGGATGGGGTCTGTCCTGGAGTGGGTGTCGGACACGCAGACGAAGCGGGTGTAGCCGGGCGGCTTGGGGGCATCGTGAGGCACTGGGTCCACCCTGCGGGAGGAAGACACGCGTCACGGGGTCAAGGGGTCACGGGGTCAGGGTACCGAATGTGTATCTGTGCTTTATATCACGAGGGCAAGGTTTCTCACCCCACAACACAGGCTTCTGTGGGGGTGCTATCGACCCCAGCGAGAATACAAGGACTGACGTCCATGGTCTGGCGGGAAGAAGTGGGTCCCAGGGCAGCACACACCCCAGGAGAGCTGCCGTGAAATGGGGGGGCTCCCAGGAGCACGTGGAACAGAGGCACGGAGAGAGCGGCAGTGTTTCAGAACTGAGAACGTCTGATCCCCGAGAGCACAGGCTTTGGTGGGGGGTTGGGGGGAGAAAGCAGCCCCAGAACCAGAAGACCAGGCTTCAAACCCAGCTCGGCACTTGCCACTAAGGTGTGGCCTTAGGCAAAACACTCGGCCCTGCCCCATGAACCTGGAGGTCACCGTTCGATTCCCGGTCAGGGCACCTGCCCGGGTTGCGGGCTCGATCCCCAGGGTGGGGCGTGCAGGAGGCAGCCGATCCATGATTCTCTCTCATCATTGATGTTCCTCTCTCTCTCTCTCTCTCTCCCTTCCTCTCTGAAATCGATAAAAACGTATTTACAAAAAAACACTTGGCCCTGGTTGGCTTGTCCGTAAAATGGAGCGGCCTCACGAAGCAAAGATACCCAGAAATGAACACACTGCAGGGAGGTAGGTCCCGGGCCCCGGAGCCGTGGCAGTGAGGACGCGGGGCAAGTGGTGGTCCCAGGGAGCAGTGCAGACCCCCCTCCCCTCTCAGTGCCCCCCACCACCCGCCGC